AAGCCCATCGTCCCTTACACCTTTCCCCTGCCCAGCCCGAAACGTCCATTGTGACCTTGTGTCCAAACCCGGCACAAGGCCCGGCACAATGAAAGACTTGCCTTGCCTCTGGTCAGAAGTGATGTTGCGTCTCTTGTCACTTCCTAGAGAGGGGTGAGTTGTTGCTGTCATCATCGCTGTTCTGGGTCACAACGCTGCGTAGGACTCTTCTAAGGCCAACCCCTTCTGGGTGCACCTCAGCCCCAGAGTCCAGCAGAGGGCCTGGTGTGGAGGAGTTGCGAATGGTTGAAGAGAATGAAAAAATGGTGAGAGGAGGGGGCAGCTCTTTCTTCAGAGAACATTCTTACCTTCTTTGGGAGTCTTGGGTGTGAGCTCTGGGGTTAACCCAACTGAGGTAAAATCCAGGCCCTGCCACATGCCGTTACCCTACTGCTCTGTGTATCAGTTTCCCCATGTACAATATGAGGGCACGGGCTTCCCTGGTGGCGCAGTTGTTGAGAGTCCGCCTGCCGATGCAGGGGATGCGGGTTCGTGCCCCCCGTCTGGGAAGATCCCGCATGCCGCGGAGCAGCTGGGCCCGTGAGCCATGGCCACTGAGCCCGCGTGTCCGGAGCCTGTGCTCCGCAACAGGAGAGGCCACAGCAGTGAGAGGCCCGCGTACAGCAAAAAGATAAAAAAATTTAAAAAATATGAGGGCACAACTGGTGCCCATACTCTGGGGTTGCTGGGGGATTAAATGGGTTCTGATTTTGCCTGCAAGTGCCGTGGGAGGTTCACACACACACTTCAGGTCTGAGCTGCCCACAGGGATTTACGGCAGGAATCCTGTCCTCCTCCTTCACCTGGGGCTTCAGAGCGTCACCTTATTGACTAGTTATTGAGCCGCTGCTAAGTCCTTTAAGTCTCTCATAATCTGGTGTTCTCAGCCTCCTCTGGGTAAAGAGCATCTGTGCGAGCTCTGCCAGAGAGAGGCCCACACTCCCCTTGCTTGGCCTTCTGGGGCCTCCAGCCTGCTGGCATGGGCGTGAGTGGTGGTGGGACGGAGGTTCAGTGTCTGCCGCCTGGGTCCTGACCAAGAGGGGCCTGAGTAGCAGGGCCAGGACTAGGATGAGGCGAATGAGGCACCCAGGGCACAGATTTGAGGAGACATTCACGTTCAGGTTGGTGCAAGTGTAGTATCAGCGCCCGAGTGGCGCCTGACATTTTGAACCCTGTGCTCCCTTTCACCTCACTCTAGTCCCTGCCCGGCCAGATGAGCCCCCATGTCAGGACCTGCAGTGTGAGGGCTGCACTCCATGCCACATGGGGGAAAGGCAGGGGAGGAATCCGAGGATGGGGCCAGAGGTACACTTGGGGCCACCAAACGGGTGACTGGGCTGACGGTGGGGGACAGGAAGGCCACCTGCAGTGCCTATAGATGCCAGCAGGTGGCAGCACGGGAGCACATTGGAGGCTGGAAGGCAGATTGGGGAGCCAAGTGGGCCGTGCCTCCTGGGTGCCCCATCAGGCCCCAGCATCCTCCTGTTTCTAGGCCTTGTCTGACACTCGTTTCTCAAATGGCATAGAGGAAGAGCCAATCCCCTGCCTCTGAGCCTGATGACCCTAGTCTCTGGGTGCTAGAGGTCTTCTTCTGTGAGATGGGTGACAGTATATCCCCAAGAAGGATACTGGGAATAAAGTGAGATTGTGCCGGGATCAGGCCAATCAAAGGTAGCAGTTAGTGGACCCAGATTCTGGCCCTTGAGGTGGCCCAAGGCCCTTTCTGGCCATTGTCCAGCTCTGAATACCTGTGAATGGCAGTGGGGAACACTGACCTGGCCCTCCCTCAGTGAGCCGGTCCTCTGTAACTGGCACGTGGCAGAAGCTCAATAAACCCCACATTATTATTGTTACTGTTATTATTATTGACACTGTTATTACTGCAACCCCTTTATCTCTAGCTGCACTCCCAGGAAGTAGACCTGCCTACGCCTCCTAATGCAGGCCTCCAGGCCTCCAACAGAAGTACAGTAAGGGCTGGGTAGGTGGGAATGGCCAGGGTGAATGTCCCTCCTCTCCTGTTTGACCGGTGGCCAGAGGACAGGAGGCCCATCAACCCCAAGGGCTGGGACATCTACTGTTGTCCCCTCTCTACATTCTCACAGGTCAGATCCCAGAGGTGGCTGGGTAGGAGAAGCCAAGGGGATTGGCTGGGCCTTAGCCTGGATGTCACTGGGAGCACTGGGGAAGCTCAAGCGGGTGGGCACATCCATCCATGTTGCCATCCAAGAAGGTGGGAGCTGGATTAGTGGCGTGAGAGACTGGGAGACTGGGTGCTCCTTGACAGTGATCTGTGGGGCTTTGGCAGCCCCAGGGGGGAGGTGCTGGTACCCAGCGACCATGTATTAGGAGAACAGAGGGGTGCAGACAAGGACATGGCCTCCCATTCTGCACTACATATGTACACCTGGAGGAAATAGGGCTGGGATCCAGGTTGTCATGGAGCCTCAAAGGGGACCTAGTCCTAGCCCTGGCCTTGGAAAGCTGGACCGAATCTATGGCCCTTTCCCCTGAAATACCTAGGCATAGGACGCAGGACATGCCCAGCCTCCTGTCAGGTCAAAGGGAGGTAGGAGCTTGGAGCACCTTGGGCCATGCTGGTAGGTGCAGGCTGTGTTGCTGTCCTCCATATCAAGGCCTGCCTGGGCCACATGAGCTGTGGGCTGTGGGCCCAGGATGTACCAGGTTCAAACCCCAGCCCCAGCGTGCCCTGCACCAGCTGTACACGGAGCCCTGGGCTACTCTCCCCTGGCTCCTCACTGATGAAACAGGAGTGAGACAGTCCACCTCCCCCAGCCATTGTGGGTACCAGGATCTCTGGCCTTTCAAGAATGTCTTCTGTATGACCACAGATGCCCCTGGCTGCACTTGCCCCCTGTCCTGAGCCCTCAGAGGCCAGGAGGGTGGGGGATGCTCCTGGGGTTCCCCCAGATATTCTCAGCCAAGGCCCCTCACACTGAGGCCTGCTGCAGGGTGCAGCTGGATAGGATAGGGTGGCAGTGTCTGCTCTCAGCCTCTGAACACCCCCAGGCACACTGGATCCTCTTCCTGCCTTCTTTTTCATATGGGTGTAGACTTAGAGTGTGTTTGTGGATACACTTGAAACACACACACACACACACACTCTCTCTCTCTCTCTCTCTCTGTCTCTCTTTCTCATCCTTTCTTCCTATTTGACATGTGTTTCCTCCCATCTCAAATGGCGATGCAGAGACTGGGTTGGTGCTGGGCCCCCTGTGGGGCTCAGTGATGTTTCTGGAAGGAACCCATTGCAAGGTCAGACTGCTCTACAGGAGTTTCTGTGCTCAACCCCACAGGAACTTTCCTTTACATTCTGAAGGCGTCTCTGGCATCTGCCTGCAGCCAGGCAACAGGATTATTGTATTTACTTTGGCTCGAAGGTGACACTTCACTTGATTAAACAAGATGGCCTCCTCTGAAGGCGGCCCTCCATGTCCACCCTCATACCACCCACTGTAACCGCTGCAGCTTCTGCCCAAAACTCCGGTCGCTACCTGTGAGGAGGGGTTTCATGCATTGATGTACGTACAGGGCTGGGGGCCAGGGGAGCAGCTCCCAAGGGCCCCTTGTAACAGTCACCACCAGGAGTAGTAATGGCAGGCGGGCAGCGCCGTCTCACCCCATCTGCCTGGCTGAGGGCGGCGAGGAGCTTTCTGGTCAGTCCACCAGGCCCATGGTCACATGGAGGACACGTCACCTGGAACATTTTATCCCAATGTTTATTGATCCCACACTCTGTGGAAGACCTGGGAACTTTGGGGGGCATTTGGTATTCCTCCAGGAGTGAGAGAGAGCTAGAAAACAGAAGGTGGGTGGAAGGGAAGAGGGGGTGATGTGAGGGGACAAAGGAGGAGGAAGCGGCCCCCGTCACCCAGAGAAAGCTGCCCTGTGGCCATCACCTAGCCAAACCCACCCAACCAGGACAGGGGTCTGGGGCAGGCAGTGGGAGAGAATGGGGACAGGGGTCCTCCCGGAGCCCCCATCCCAGGCTCTGGTCCCTGGGTGCCAACCTTACTCTCCGGACTCCATTTTTAGGGTCTCCCAGACATTGGGTCCCCTGCAGCTCCTACATTATGGGGCTGAGGGGCTATCCAACAGGATTGAGGTGCACAGCCCACACATCCCGTCTCCCCTCACCCTCAGAAATCCTCTGTCAGTCTGCTGAGGAAAGGAGACCCCTCCCCAAGACCAGGCTTGTCACTGACAGGTTCGGCTGTTTGACCCCAGTGTGGGAGGCCCATGGGGTGCTTGGGGCCCTCACTCTTACCCAAGGCCCTGTCCTGCAACCCCCAGGTCCAGCCCAGCCCTCCACCATGGGACTGGGGCTCACCCTCTCCTCGTTTCCACTTATGCTAGCCTGAAGGCTCAGTTCTTTAGCAGAGGGTCAGGATGTCACTTAAAGTCCTGGTTTATGAGATTTTCAATCCTAAAATTGTGCAGTCCTGGGAAAACTAGGGCATTAGGTCACAATAGTGACCAAACCCTCCAAACCCTTCTGAACACTGCAGGTGGGTTCCCCACACATAACCCTTGTGGCTTCCCAACACCACCCATCCGCTGCACTCCTGTGCTCTGGGAAAGACCACATTATTTTCTTCTTTTTTGTGTTTCACACCCCACTCCTATGGGTCCTGAGGCACCGCACCTCCCCCTGGCCCTTGGGGCTCATGCCCCCTCCCTCCTCCTGTCCCATAGGTCCTGTCCACTTGGCCTCTCCAACCAAGGATATGGCAGGCGTCGTGACCCCATTCCACAGCTGAGGCACGAGGCCCCAGAGCAGCCTTGAACTCAGGACCAGAGGCAACTCATTAGATAGATTAAGGAAAGCCAGCTGGGCTTCCACCTCATAGCTGATATCCAAGCGACCATCCCCCCCACAGCCCCTCACCCATCCCACCCCTCCTGGGGTTTCACATCCCCAGTGTCACAGGCTCACACTCTCTTTGTGTAAACGTCTTAATTACATCTTTAATGCTCTCACATGGAGATGCTATGAGTTAAATTAGTTTCTGTGCATCCTAAATTACCCATAGCCCTCCAGTTGGCTCAAATGCTAACGTATTTATAGCATCTAGAGGAGGAAATAAATCCAGGACCTTCCCCATGAAGTCCTCCTAGGCCCTCACAGCCTGACACCTCGTATTTGCCACCCTCACGTCCCCGCCAACCAGCAGAGGACAGTGATGGCGGCGAGGCTGGGCACAGGGGTGTGCGTCTGTGCCTGCTCAGGTGCACATGTGTGCCCAGCGGAGAAGTGCCCAGCTCTTGGGGTCTGGCTTGACCCAGTGCCTTGCCCAGATGCCCCAGCCTGGCAGAATTCCTGCGGGGCATGGGGTGGGTGGACAATGGGTAGGTGGGTTGTGTGATCAAAACCCAGACTAGGTCTCTTAGGTCTGTTTTCCAAGGGGCTATCCCCACCCTGTTTCAGGCATTCAGAACTTCCCCTGCTAGCCTGCAGCTGGCGACCACCACCCTCTGACCAATAGTCTCTCCCCCAACCCCAGGTCCCCGATAAACACCAAGACAGGGAACTGTTCCAGAAGCAGGTTACCTGGCTTTTAGAGCCCAGTGAAGTGCCCAGTGGTGGGCAGTGGACCCTTGCCTTTGCTTCCCTCTCCCTTCAGTCCCTGAACACTGAAGGTGGAGAAGGTGGCCTACTTAACGTTCCTCTACACACCATGGGGTTGGGGGTGGCTTGGAGGGTGGAGCCAATGCAGGGGTCTCCATCCTGCCCCCTGTGCTGGGACAGGCACGTGTCTGCAGGTGGGCACCTTCATGCGCATGCAGGAGGCCTTCCAGCAGGTCTGGGCACTGCATCCCTCCACACCTGCTCCCCCACCTCCCTTCCCCCTCAGCTCTCATCCTAGCTTGGGCCCAGCCAATAGCCGACCACCACGGAGGGGTGGCTGGAAGACCTCATGCATCCCTGTAATTTGGACTGACCTTGGGTATGAGCAGCCCTCCTGCTGGCATCCTTGCCCACTGGGCAGTTTCAGCTCTATCCCTGAGCCTCTCCCAGAGTACCACCGTACCATGTGGCTGTGACCTGGGTGGCTGCCTCTCCCCACCCCAGAGGAGACTCCAGATTCCAAAGATATGTCTCTCCCTGATGGATGGGAACCCCCCTACTCTCCTTCCCTTCCCCCTCCCATCCCACATCTCCCCCCATTTCCTCCACATTAGAGGAGCAGACCCTGATGTGAGGGGTCTGGGAAGGGCACAAGGAAGCCAGCCAGCATAAGGAAGCCTTATGAGGGATGCTCTGCATTCCAGGGCCCTCAGGTCAGGGGATATCAGTGGCCATATGCCCAACCTGGCCAGGGGCCTCTTTTAGAGCCTGGAGGGTCAGCAGCTGGGTCCTCAAAATAGCTGAGGCCTTGGCAGGGCAGGTCCTGAGAGGAGGTCCTAATGATCTCGGAGTTGGCAGCTGAGGGCACTGTGGCAGGTGTTTTCATCAGAGGTCCAGGCCTGTCCCGGGGTCCTCACGCGTGGATGGCATTGGCTACATCGCTGAACACCAGCCGGCTGGGCCTCTGCATTGGGCCCTGAGAGGGGAGAGTGGTCTGCAGAGAGACAGTAAGGGGCATCAGGGACCTTGACCAAGGCCATGCACTCTGGCCCAGTCCCCTCCACCCTCTGGTGCCCACGTGCACTTGGCACCAGCTACGTCTTCTGCCTGGAATGCCCTCCCACAAGCTCAGCCAAGAAATACGACCTGGCTCAGGTGACTCCTCCCCCCAGCCATCCCCAGCTTGCCCTGCCACCTCAGCCAGTTGCAGCACTTAACCTAGGTCCCAGGGCCTGCATTAATTATGCATGTACCGACCTCTCCCAGCAGAGGGTATTCACCTCTGTACCCCCAAGCCCCAAAGCCCGGGCACAAGGGCTGGCACAAGGGAGATGCACAGGAAACAACCGTCAAATAGTCAGTAGTCCCAAGAGCTGGGTGGACCAAGGTTCTCAGCCCAATTTCCTGAATATCCCAAGGGGGAATGAGTCCTGATCCTGGCGACAAAGAACTGGTAGCAAAACCAGGGGACTCCCAGCCTGGACTCTTCCTGAGCCCAGTCTCTTAATTCTGCTGCTGTGGAGCCAGGTTCCCTAGCAACCTGTGCAGTCAAGGCAAGGAGGGATGCAAAGGGGCATCATGGGTCCGGGGGAGACCAGGCCTCCTCATGGTGCTCTGGCCCCTGGGGATTTCAGGGACCGGTGGCAAGTGGCCAGGCAGCCCAGTGACTCTGGCAGGATAACCACACAGGTACCCAGCACTTTGGACATGGGAGGTGAGTCCGGCTAGGGTCTGCACCTGCCTGGGGTCTGCCAGCTACTAGGAACCCACCAATCTACTCAGAGGTGCCACTGCCCCAGAATCTGGCGCCAGTCACAACTCACTCAGGACTGGGATCTCAGGAAGCAGAAGAACCCAGGGTCTCAGCCCCCCAACAATCCCCCCCGTGAGTCTTCTGCTTTCCCCCTAGTTTGAGGGGGCATACCTGAGGCAAGAATCAGGATTTTCACTTGCAGATGAGAAAACTGAGGCTCAGAGAGGCCAACGGAGCTTCCAAGGTGACCAGGCTATCAGGACAGAGCCAGGCTGGATCCCAGGGCTGCCCTGGCCTGGCCTTGTGCAGTGAGCCTGTGGGTGGCCGAGGAGCAATTCTACTAGTTTCTAAACAAACCTGACAAAATCCGTATACCCGATAGCTGCCACTTGACCACATGGCAGGTGCTAGAAAGCTACATGGGAAAGGAGGGAGGGTGGGGGTGGAAGAGCCACAAACAGGCTGCAGGCTGGGTGGAGGAGCCTGGTCAGTGCCCACCTTGGCCAGCGTGGCCTGCACAGCGGTGGCGGCCTGCACGGAGGCAGTGTCCCGCCCGTGCTCCAGCAGCTCCCGCTCCAGTTCATCTTGCTCCTCCGTGGGGTCGAAGTTGTACATAGGCATGAGCTGGTGGCGCAGCTTCTCCAGCCTGGGGGGTGGGGGCAGAGACTGCTGCAGGCAGGGCAGGCCCTTCTGCTCCCACCAGCCCTCCAGGTGCTGCTGCCTGCTGACCAGCTGACACCATGTTTAGGGTCCTAAAATTTCCCCTGGGATTCAATGAAAGACATTTTTGCACATACAGTACTAGCTCTACCTCTTGGATGGGTGGCCTGGGAGGGATAGTTACCCACTCCTGGGACCAGATGGGGCCATGGGCCACAGAGCTGTCATCCATGAGAGCCATGGGGACTGCTTAAGCCAGGGCCTTGTGCAATCCCCAGCCTCTGAGGGGCCGGGGTGGGGAAAGGGGAGTCAGTGGCCATTAGCTCAGGGCAGCAGGGCAAGGGTGGCTCAGCCCTCCCCAGGGGAAAATGGTTACCCCCAACCCCGAGTGGGCAGAAGAGGCCCTGACTCCCTCACTAGGGAGAGGGACCCTCATGGTGGAGGTACTCTCCTTTCCCACCCACGTCCCCTGGAGTCCAGCCCAGCATTGCCCACTGGAGTCTTGGGTGGCAGATGGGGAGTTACCTCTTCTTCTTCCTGATGTACAAAACCTGCAAGAGAAGGAGCAGCATCAAATGGCCAGGAAAGGAGGCCCTAATTAATCCAGTAGTCCCTCGGGACAGGGGACATGCTGAGGCTGATGAACGGGAGAACTATAGGTCCCCATGTCCTCAGTGACCCCATCCCAGGGACACATACATCCTAAATTTGTGCTTCCATTTGACGTTTATTAGATGCTGACAGTGCCCGAACTCAGAGGTGGGGAGAAGGCCAGCCTGGGAAGACCACACAGGTAAGCCTGGCCTAGGGACGCGTGGGCCCACCCCTGCCAAAACTGACTGTGGCTCCAGCCACTCAGTGCCTGCCTCGGACTCCTCAGGGCTGAAGTGGTGGTGGTGGGGACTTCAGCATACCCCCTCCTCTCAGCTGTCCCCAGGACCAAATTTTCTCCCCGTGTATGGGCAAAAAGAACAGAGGAAAGGCAGCGGGCAGACTCTGCAGGGCAGTGGCTCTAGGCAAGGCTCTGGGCTGGCTTCCTGGGGTTTCCATGGGAGGCTGATGGCCCTCAGGGGCTGAGGAGGAGGGTCTGAGCCCCTGGACATCAGCCTAGACCACACTCCTGAACCCTGATGCTGGAGGAACCTAGGAAGACCCCTGGGTCCTAACCCCCATCATAATGACTTGAAGATAAAGGCCTAGGCAGCCTGAGAAAACATCTGAGACCCAAGAGCTCCTGGCTAGAGCAGGAAATCCTGGTACAAAGCACTCAGGGGAGGGAGGAAGGGGGTGAGACTTGGGGACCTCTGCAGGACCTGGAGCGGGAACTCCAGGGACCTCTGCCACCATCTCGCTCATCCCTCAACTGGTGTTTTTTGACTACCAGGAGCATGACTTCTTCTGCTTGGGGGAAAGCCATGTCCCTAGAGTCTGTCCCAAACCCCCTGTGGCTCCTATACTCTTTGTGGCCCATTCACAGCTTGAATCCGGTTTGTTCCCAGCCTGACCCAGAGCTCCTCCTGCTGCTCATTCCTGGGGGACCCCAAAGGCGGAAAGAAACTGCAGTGCCCCTTGCTCCCCCATCCCCTCCAGGAGGTCACATGTTGGCATGCCCCTTGCTCTCTTGTGGGTGGGATGCAACAGGAGCTCCAGGTCTCTGGCATAACCCCTGCCTGCCCTGAAGCAGCAGCTCCAGCCCCAGCACACTGTACTTCCTCGCCTCTCAGCCCTCCTGCCTGCCCTGTGATACAGAAGGATCTTTAAGAGAGGCTAGAACCAATCTCCACCCCTTGCCCTTGCTGCTCCCTCTGCCCCAACTACTAACACCCTCCCCGCAAATACCTTCCTTTCCAAATCTTCCTTACCCTTCACTGTCCAGCTGCAGCCCCACCTCTTCCAGGAAGCCCTCCCCCACTGTTCTTCCTACGTGAGGCACACGGCCTGGCACTGATTTGTTCCTCCTTGCACCCAGCATGGCATGGCTCAGGGTTGGCATGAGGGGAGAGGAAGTAGTACTTAAGGAACATCTCCAGACCTGACCCCTGCCCAGGAGCTGTTTCCTGCCCTCCACTGCCTTTGCCCCATAACTTCCCTACCTCTCCGTTTTTGGTGATAAGGCCATCCACCACGGCCCTCCGAATATTCCTCCAGAATGAAGAGTAAGGAAGTCTTCCCAAGTTCCCAGGACAAAATCTTTGGCCAAGAGTGACAAAGGCAGTTTCTAGGCCCTGCTCTGCCCCTGAGGTTAGGGTGTCTCAGCCTGCTAAACCACCATATGGGTGCCAAACACCGGTATTCTGCCTCACCCCTGCCCCAGGAGACTGCTCAGGCCCCGGCCTCACTCTGTGTGTTGCATCCTGGCTCTGCCCGCTGGCCAGCAGTTGTTCCCTGGCAGCAATCCGGAGCCTGTGGGGCCCATATGGTGACCCTGTTTTACCAGCAGCTCCAGCCATGAATGGATCATCCAGCCCTATTTGTCACAGCAACATGCTCCTGAGTCTAAGGCCAGCCGTCAGAGCCTGTGAGGGGCAGCAGGCAGAATGCCACCATTGCCGGGCCTGCTGGGGGATCTCAGGTACACCTCCCACCCTTCCAGATCTCAGTCCTCGCAATCTCCAATGGGCCCTCGGTGACATTCTGAGTGTCCATGTATCATCTTAAGAGGAGAGTCCATATCTTTTTTTTTTTTGTCCACGCTGCACAACTTGTGAGATCCTAGTTCCCTGACCAGGGATTGAACCTGGGGCCACGGCAGTTAAAGCGCTGAGTCCTAACCATTGGACTGCCAGGGAATTCCCAGGGGAGAGTCCATATCTTCAGAGGTAGATACCAGATCTGGAAGCATCATATCCACTCTCAGGGGACACCTGCAGCCCTCACCCCAGCTCACCTCTGCCCTGATGTCTGCCCAACTCTGCCCTTCTCATGACGCTGGGGCCAGGCCTCCACTGTGATGTCTTAGCTCTAATGTTGCCTCCTTAGTTGTCCCTGACCACCCAGCCTAGGAAGTCCCCCCAACTCCCACCCAGTTCCCTAATCCAGTCCCTACGGGCTTCCCTTGGCACCCTTGGTTTTACCTATCTCTCACTCCCTGTAAGAACTGCAGGGCAGGACTTTTTCTCCCTAGTCCCTGGGGTCCCGAAGGCTCAGTCCAGGGCAGGTGCCCAGTAAATAATTGCCAAGTGAATGAATGAATGAACATTGCCAGCAGCCTGCCATGCCCAAAGCATCCCATTCAGACTCTACAGCCCACGATCTATCCCAATTGCCTGCTGGCCTCTACTCCTATTGCATCCCCACACTCACTTGCCTCACTGTCCTGCTTGCTGCTCACAGATACCTCCTGTCTGCCTCCAAACGTTTACCCATCAGGACCCTCCACCTGCAACACCCTCCTCCCCAACTCCTACGTGGCCTTCATGGCCCAACTCAAAATGCCATGTATTCCTCAGAACCTTTTCTGGTTCTTCCAATTGGAGGCAGCCTCTCTGGTCTCTGGACCCCAATAAACAAATCTCTGGGGAAGGAAGGGATTGTACTATCACTAACAGACAATTGTGTTCTGATTAGATCCTCTAAAATCTGAACAGTGATCGCCCTCTGCCAAGTGAGGGCCATCTGGGCCAGCCCCAGCCTGCCCCAGCTCTCACCATGGCCACAGCCAGGCCAATCACTGTGATGATCCCAAAGGACAGAAGCATTGTGCCCACGCCGGCTGTGCCACCAGCCACGTCAGGGATTCTGGTGTCATTAAAGCTGGTGGCTTCTGGGCTGAGTGTGGTGGTCTCGGAAGCTGGCCCATCTGTGGCAGGCTCCAGGTCAGGTTCAGAGGTGGGTGGGTGGCTGCTAATCCAGCTCCTAGCAGATGGGATCCTGGAGTCCATGCTGATGCTGAGGGACTGCTTGTGGTCAGTCAACCTGCTCACTCACTTCTGACATCAGGGGTGTCCCAGCCTGTGGCCCCCACTACCCATACAGGGGGCCACGTCCTTGGATAAAGAGAGCTCCCTGCCTCCCTGGGTGTTGGAAAGGAAAAAATAAAAAACATGAGGCTGAGGATGGGACTCTGTGAGGAGATGAAGTCCCCCTAAGTTCTGAAGGCACAGGGGAAATAAAAGTTTGAGGGCAAGGGCAAGTTCAGGGAACATCAGGACATGTGCTTTATCTATCTATGGATCCCATGTGGATTTAGGAACATGAAAATGAAGCCCTGCCCCCTCTTTGTGGGTAAGATGATCATAGTGATCATACTTGGAGGATGTGAAAAGTAGTGGGGAGGTTTGAAAGAAAAAGATCATTCCCCACCCCCAGCCCCTACTCCCCACACTGCTCACCTTCTTACTTCCTGCCCCCCACATCCCTCACCTCCTGCTTGGAGAAAAAAAACTGCAGCTTTTTCCTTTCCTGGAGGAAAACACTTGCACGAAAGTCAGATAGGCTTGTCTTTGAATCCCGGTTCAGCCACTTAACTGGGTGACCCTAGGCAAGTCACTCCACCTCTCCATGTCTCAGTTTTCCTGAGTCTAAGGTAGGGGTATTAAGAACACGTCCCTCACAGAAAGGGTCATAGGGTAGCTGAAATATCAGAATGAACAAGTTCCTAGAAATGACTTAGCTCAGTACAACCCTCATCCACAGCAAGTACCCAATAAATGTTAGATCTTCTCCCTCTGGCCACTCCAGTTGGGAAAGGGGAGCCCCAGAAGCCCCTGGACCCAGCCTGCTGTGTGGTCCAGCTTGTGCTTGGAGTAAGGGCAGGGACATGTGTGGCAAGACCAGAAGACAGGAAGGAGAGAGAGGCCAAAGTCAGGTCCTCTGGTGGGCTTTCTCTGTAGGCTCTTGGGTCATTGAACTCCCTATAGGGGCTGCCAGGGACTAGGAGAAAATCAAGGGGAGCGTATCTTCAGGGCCAGGGATGGAGCTCCCACTCTGAGATGCCTTCTCTTCCCCTTCCCTCCTCCCCTGGGAGCAGAGGGTGGGTGATGTGCCCAGTCTAGGCTGTGACTTTGGCCTTCCCGGGCCAAAAGGCCCTGGGTAAGGCAGGGTGGGAAGAGGTCCTAGCCAAACTGCAGAAGGGAAGGCCGAGGGATAGGAGAGATGCACAGCTCATGGCTGCATACACACCTCTGCGCTAGCTCACGGGTGTATGTGGGATGCCTCCCTGTGCAGGTGTATGGGTGTGTGTGAGGTGTGCACACACCAGTGATGGCCTCTTAGGAAGGAGCAAGGCTGGCACAGAAACATGGGATGGGAGAAGCTCATCATCCCTCTCTGTCCTCCTCCTCTAGCTAGGCTGCGCACGTCAGGAGTCCCAGGTTCTTTCTTGGCTCTGCCGCTGACCCCAGATGTGACCTTGGGCCAGACCCTTAATATTTGCTCTGGGGCTCTGTTTATTCTTCTCTCCAAAGGAGAGAAAGGGCTCTGCTCATCACTGTTCAGGAATGCCTCATGGTCCAAAGGGCAAGAGAAGGAAGCCAGAGAGAAAGGGGTGGGCACCACCACCTCCAAGAACCCGCATACCATTCTCCACCAGGTTCATCAGTCCTCCCTGCCCCAATCCCCAACCCCACCTTCGCGACTCTGTGATTCCTCCATTCTTGCACAGAAGCGGCGACCTCAGCACTTACTTAATCCTCTCTGGGGCGCCGGACTCAGCGGGAGAGGCTAGGGGTGGTGGCGACTGGCAGGAGGCCGGGGCAAGGTGAGGGGGAGCCCCCAGGCCCCGGGATTGGGGGCGGCGGGTCCGACCCAAGGTCCGCCCTCCCTGGGCGCCCTGGGAGGACCTCCCTGGGCTGGGCCAGCGACGTCACACCGCCCACAGCCGAGAGTGCCTGTTCTGCCAGCCTGGACAGGGACTGGTCGGCCGGGACCCACCTCGGGGGTGGGGCTGAGGCGAGCAGCCTCGCGGCTCCGCGACGCTCCAGCTCCTCTCCTCCCTGCCAGCTCCGTGCCCCCGGCCCCGGATTGGCTGTCAGGCCCAGAGCCTGCCCTGCATTGGCCCGCTGGCCTGCCGCTCGGATCTGGCTCTGCCCCCAGCAAGAGGGGGAGCCAGGTCGCAGTTCTTGGAGACCACTCCTCACTGCCCGTGGGCTGTGCCAGAGTCGGGAGGGGGACGGTGGGTGGCCAGGCCTTCCTAAGGGCTACAACTCTGGTCTCCGGCTACTCTGGGCGCCATTTCCGCCAGGACAGAGTCGGGCTCCGCAAACGCAGGTGGACACAAATTTGGGGAGATCACTAGACTAGGAGTCCTTGAGTCTGCATTGAACTCCGGTTCGACCCTCCACTAGCTTAGTGACCTAGAGCAAGATGCTTCTCTTCCCTGGGTCTCAGCTTCCTGCTCAGATGGGCTCTGGTGTGAGGGCTCTTGTTAAACGATACCCATCCCAGGCTAGAAATGAGACATCTTCAGAGAAGTTGGGGGGCGGGATGGTATTTTTATTACAGGAGTGGTATTATTGGACACCTGGACCCAAGCAAGCCTACATACACCCCTCCAATCCAGAGCTCGAACATCTCTGGAGAGGAGCCTTCTAATCCTCAGGTTTTTAAAGGAGCTTATGGGGATCACCGGAGTAGCTTGTTACAAATACAGATCCCCGGGTCTGGGATGGAGCCCGGGAAACTGCATGCTTCATAGTAGTTTAGTCAACAGTGATCTAGTTAACAATAGATTAGGGGGCGAGGGCGTGGCATTGGCAGGCCATACTTTGCGAAACACTGCCATGAATTTTATTGGAGCGACTGAGGCCCACAGAGGGGCACATGGACGAAGCCTCACGATGAGTCAGGATTCAAACCCTGGTCTACTACTTCCAGTTTCGAGCTCCCTGCTCGAAAATGGGAGCTAGAGGGTCAAGAGCGGCCCTGGGGTCCAGCTGCCACCTGAACCCCAGGTCCTGGACACTGGGTGCCACCCCCCCAAATTAGTGCCCGCCCCCAACACTGGGATCCGCCCATGTGCCGCTCTACCAGCACACAGCCTACGTTAGACCAGGCCCCTGGGCATCGCACCCCAACTCTCGAATTCAGAGCCGGCTGGTGACATGCCTCCGTTCGGGTTGGCTACACACCTCCCGGCCGGGTACCCAAACGCCATCTCGGAGCAGTCACCGCAGGCTTATCCCTGCCTCGACCTTCAGGAAGACCGTCGGGTCCAGGCCCCCGGGAAGCAACCCTACTCCGAACCACGCACTTTCCCGCCAGTGGGCCTTTGGACGTAGTGGGCGTGGCGTTCATAGCCCCCACTGGCCGCAGGGGCTTCCGAGGTGGAACACATCGGCTCTAGGAACTCTGGAGCTGGGCGACGGGGTCCGCCCGAGCCCTTCCTCAGGTGCGCCAACCCCGGAAGCAGAGCGTCGGAGGGAGCTTACCGCGGGTCACGCATGTCCGGGCGCCGAGCCTGCGGCAGTTTCTTCAGGCTGGCGGGCGAGTGGGGAAGCTTCTCAGGCAGGTATGCGTAACACCCTCGAGACCTCGAATTCGTCAGAGCTCTGGCAGCCTTCCTTAAAAAGTCTGTACCCCCGTTGTACAGATGGAGAAACAGGCTTGTGGAGAGGCGACCTCGCGGTGCGAAACTGAGAGGGAAGCTGCGCCTTTGACTTCAGGCCTCGGCTCCTCCCTGGGCGGCGCTCTGGTAGACAGAGCTGCCTCTGGAGTCCAAAGGACTTGTGTCTTGACTGGGACAGTACCTAGCTGGGTGACTTTGGGCAAGTTGCTTCCAGTCTCGGAGTCTCATTTTCCTCTCTGTTTGTCTCTGAAGAGCGGCACCTAGCAGGTGTTCAGTAAAGGCTAGTTTGAACCCTGGTCTCTGTAAGAGGAAAGGAGACCACTGGTTTTAAACCTTCAGTTAAATTTGTTTGTGATAACTTACATATAAATTAACAGAAATTGTCAATTTTTTACCTGGAAGTTTATGCTGGTGTTTAGGACTATGGGTTAAATTGGGTGGAGGGGTGATTTTCAGCATACAGGTCAATGACAGTGCATGCAAAATGTCAAAAGCAAAGCTCCCAAGCAAGGGCAGTCTCCTCCTCCTAGTAATATTAGTCAAGAGTATATAAAATTGAGTTTCTCTATGTGTTGAGCTGGCTCCAAGGCCCTTGATATTCATTGACCGGATGCACTGCTCACCGTGGAGTTTGTGTTATTTTCCCCATTTTATGGACGAGGAAACTGAAACACAGAAATAATGACTTTCCCGAGGTCACACCCTCTGGGTCAGATAGATCTGTCCAACCCCCAAGCCTGGGCCCTGATCCACACCAGCCCATTTATTAGTAGGGACTGAGCTATGGGTTACGATCACTTGAGCCAAAAACATGAAGAAAATGTCACTGACCAAGACAAGAAAACTCAGATAGGTGGGTGAGGGTCTAAAATGGAGTCAAAGAGGCGACAGAGCAAGAGCATGCCCTCTCTCAGGCAACAGGTCCGAGAGGAGTGGGTCCCACAAGTCTCAGCTACTCTCCTGGTTCTCCTTCCCTATTCTAGGGCAGCCACATCTGAGGACCAGAGCCATGCTGAGGAGCCAGAGCCTGTGACCTTCTCCATCTCCATCCGGCTGAGGCCAGCCACCATCCTCAGCAGCTGACATCACGAGAAAGATTTGGGGACCTTGGGGAAGTACCCAAGGGATCCTTTCCCTGAGATGTGGGACATCGGGGCAGAATGCTGAGGGCCCTCCTATCTGGCCTGGGGTGGAGGGGAGGCATTTGGGGCTGCACCTTCAGCTCACGGCAACCCCATCTGCCTCCGGCTCGGTTGTTGAGTGCCACAGAACTGGTCAGCCACTGGACAGTAGTCTTTGAGAAAAGGGGCATCCCTGAGGCCCGGGAATCCAGTGAGTACATCGTGGCTCATGTCCTTGGAGCCAAAACAGTTAAGTGCAGTGTTGTCAGGAGGGCAGGAAATGGGGGGAGGGAGGACTCTGGGGAAGAGACATCCAGGCTTTTCCATTCCACTGAAAGTGCTGAGCCGAGAATGATGGGATTTTTCTGGAGGAATGTCTTAGGCAGATACTTATTCATTCATCCAACAAACTATTACAGTGTGTGCCAGGCACTAGGGGTTCAGGGATCACCAAGGTGGCCAGTGTTGGACCCACTGGCATTGTTTACAAAAGAAACCTGGGTCAGGGGAGCTAGCCACTCACATTCTCTGTGGTGCAGTTTCAGAGCCTGAGGCCAGGACTTTGGACCCAGCCCCTGACCCCTTGGCAGTTACAGTATGTCCAGGAGCTGAGTAGCTACCGATTGCAAAGGTGAGCACCATGGGCCAAACCAGAGGGCTCTGTGTGGGGAGCAGGGTCCAGCTTCCTTCAGCTCCACCAAGTTCATGGTCAGGGAGGAAGAAAGTGTCCAAGGACTAGGGAGGTGTTGGGATGAGAGAATGATGAGAGAGGGGTCATGGTAGTAAATAGGAAGAAGGGAGGGAAGGAAGGTCTTGGCTACGAGTTCTGGGGCGTAGAAGACATGACCCTACCCGACACTTTTGGCCACAAGTTGTATCCCAACCCAGACATGGTCTTGTTGGTCCAGGTGCTGGCACTGATGATCACCCTGCTGCCCCCTCTGCAGGATGCCTGTGCAGTACATCCTTGGTGAGTGGGACTTTCAGGGCCTCAGTCTGAAGATGGCACCCCCAGTGTTTATCCCTCGGCCAGAAACGGAGGTAGGTGTGCCATCAGGACTGGGCAGGATGGGAATGAAGGGGGCTCAGGGCACCTGTCTTGTCCCAGAGTTCCACCAGGGGGCGCTGGAGCCCCATGACTGCTGTCCTTTAGAGGCAGCGCCCTTCCTGGCTGGCTGAGTAGGTGGGGCCAAGAGGAAAGAGGTCTCCTGCTCACCTCCTTGACTATCCTCACTTCCCAAGCCACTGCCCCAGCCCCTAGGCTGGCAGTGGCTCAAGATGCCCCAACTAGTGCTGCCCACCAAGTACTCAGCCGGTTCCTGTCATTTCCCTAGGAGCTGCCCCATGGGCCCATAGCCTACCCAACCCATGGGAAACAAGTGCCCTCCTCTTCCTCAGGAGGCATGGGCGAAGTGGAGAGGGCTCCAGCTGGACATCTGGAAGCCTGGTACAGCTTTGTGACCTTGGGTAGGTCACTGCCCGCTCTGGGCCCAGATGATGAGAGGGTTGGGCCTCCAGACCAGGGAACTGGTTGGGACCTTTTACCTATTACATCCACTATCTAGTCAGGTAATCACCTGTGTTTCTCAAATTACTAGCACTGGGAAGTGTATGGTCCCAGCATGCTGTGTGTAGGTGCGACACCCTAGTCTTGGGAGAAATGCTTTCTATGGCCCTTCTTGGGCTTCCCCATGACCTTGTAGGTGGCAGGGCTGGGAGCCAGAGAGAGCAGAGCAGGTGGAGGGGTATGTGGGTGGGGGCTGGTGGGCAAGCCAGAGGGCACCGGGTTCTGAGAAGGGGTGTTTCCAGAAAGGCACACACATTCTTGGGAAATATCAGGCCTCATCTACCTGTCCCAGCCAGGGACCCAGAGCCCCTTCTCACTTTCCCAGCCTCTCTCCCTCAGCCAAGAAGCCCTCTGACCCCACTTGCCCCCTGCATCATGTGGTTGGGAGGCCAGGTCCTTGACTTAATGCCCAGTGTCAGGGCAGGGACAGTAGGGAGTCTGAGACCTTGCTGAAGTCACAGGGATGTCAAGGCAGGGAGCATGGGGGCAGCACTCAAGACATCCTGTCTCCTGCGTCAGGGCCCCATACCTTACAAGGGGCTGAACCATCTGGGATTGGATGTGCTGGATAGGTGCAGAGACCCAGAGCAGGATATAGCCTGCTACCTGCAGACTTTTGGGAGGCCAACCTGTGGCCCCTCCAAGCATGCGACCTCTGGCCAGGAGGTCACTCACCATCCCCTGAGGCTGCCAAGGGTCAG